GGTCTAAAATACATGGCCAAGAGACATGGTCGAAATACATAGTTTAAGACATGGTCTAAGACATGTTCTGATGATATGGTCTAAGACATGTTCTAAAGATATGGTCTAAGACATAGTCTAAGACATGGTCTAAGATATGGTCTAAGACATGTTCGAAAGACATTGTCTAAGACATGTTCTAAGACATGTTTATAAGACATGTTCTAAGAAATGTTTTGATGACATGTTCTAAAACATGTTTGGAAGACATGGTCTAAGACATGTTCATAAGACATGGTCTAAGACGTGTTCTAAGACATGTTTATAAGACATGGTCTAAGACGTGTTCCAAGACATATTCAGAAGACATGGTCTGAGACGTGGTCGTCAGACAAGTTCGAAAGACATGGTCCGTCAGGTAATGGTCTAGGTACTGAACCTTACGATGACATGATGTTGTGCACCTTCTGGTGGCACGATTCTAGTTTCTGGAAGAACCAATGAATTAGTTTTGATGTTTGATGCAAGTCATCAAGACAGTGACTAAACAATTTCTAATGCCTCAAAGTCTTCTAATAACAATCTAGGTTGTGAGATGAAGACCATGTATTTCTAGTCAGACTCTGATGAGACGTCAATGGATAAGTATTCCTTCTCTATGTTACCTTGTGTATTGCAAAATTCATTTAATGAGTCTTGGGCTCGGGGGGAGACTCTGAACAAGCTTAAATGGATTTTTGAGTATTAACAAATTCAGGGGGAGCTGGTTAGCTTTACTGAATTTTCATTCCATGTTGATTATCTTGTATGAATTGTTCTATCAAAATACATAGTTTTGTTATCATCAAAAAGGGGGAGATTGTAAGAACAAGATTGATTCTACATCTATTTAGTGTGTAGATTTTGCTAAACAAGTTCTGACTCTGGTAAGAAGGTGTGCAACGTCATAAGGTTCTGAACTCAACACTCTAGAAGAATACCTTTAGTGTGTTACAAGTTAAGTCAAGATTAAGGAATGCTTCTTGTGCAACGGTTCTAAAAATGTTAGTAAAAGAGCTTCTGATCGTGACTTATACAAGGAAGCTTTTGAGGTCTTCCAAAGCTTTGCTTCTGATGTTCCAAGTTCTGAAGATGCTAAAGACAAGGTTCTATTGAATGAGTTATAATGATCTGAAGACATTCTTATGAAGACCAAGTGCTGAAAAAGGTGAAGGCAAGAATTCTTTGAACAATCCCTGAAAGGCTCTAAAGACGTAGGTTTTGAAGATACATAGTTCTGATCCTTCTACAACATGTTTCATCAACAAAAAAATTAGAAGCCTATGAAGATATAGAAGCCGAAGATCAAGACTAAGGAATTGCGTGTGATGGTGAATATAAAAGTACAAAAGTACATTGTGACCTCTACTCTCTAGGGTGACGTAAGGATAAACTTTTTTATACTATTGTCTACTAGTCTCACCATGACTGCTGGGAACAAAATAATTGTATTTGTGTTTTCTATTCTAGCCTCCAATGGATCTCTTCTTTCATCTATAAAAGGAGTACTTGGAAGAATTTGAAATAAATGAACCAGTTCTACAAAACTACACCAAACCATTGCACTGACTCTGTAGAGTAATTCTTTGTATAGTTTTGTAAATAAGCAAGGAGCTTTTGTTCGTATCTTGCTAGTCAACACTTTTGTGTTGTTGTACTTAAACATTGTGTAATTTGCTTATGTAGAAGCATCTTTGTATACATATCTTTGTAATCAACTATTGTTGATAAGTTCCTTGAGAGACTCTGTGTAGTCTAGATTCTCAAGAAGACTTTGGCTGAGGTCATAATGGTTTGCAATAAGGATCAACAGACTTATTTGGGGTGCCAATAAGGTTGATCATACTTATTATGGTTGTCTATAATCTGGTTGATTATAGTGGGTTAAATTCTTGTGTATAAGGAAAATCACCTTGCGGGGTGGACTGGAGTAACTTAGTTAATAATGAACCAAGATAAACATAATTGTGTTCATCTATTTTTATTCACTAGTTATCTTTGTGTTTAAGTTGCGAAAAGATTATATTTGGTGCAACCCAATTCAACCCCCCTTTTTTTGTATTTCTTGCACCATCAGTAGATAGAGTGCAACAAAGATCTAAATGACCAAGAGCTGAAACTAACAGTGGAAATGAAGAATACATTAGTATGAATCAATGCATCTATGGATAAGCGAAAGATTTAAAAAAATGGCTAGAGGATTAATTTGGTTAGTTATAATTTGAAAGATTTGGTTATGTAGAAATAAGATTATGTTTAAAGGAGAAGTTATAGATTTAAATCATGTGGAGGAAGATATTAAAGATTTTATCTTGGTCTTGTTTTATGGGAATGATAATAAAAGGTGCAATGTGGAACTTTTACGAGTGGTTTGTTAATCCCATGTCATGTTTGGAAAATCTGTGATCGAGTTGAAGTTATAGGTTGTTTGTCAATCTCAAAGACATGGTGAGTTCTATTAGGATGTGATTCTTGCATCTTGAAGAACATTGTGGTTCTTTAGTAATTAAATCAACTTCTAGGTATTTCCATATTATCTTTACATATATGTAGTGTAGATCCAGTAAGGCTATTGACTGTGTTAGTTCTCTTGTTTTAGGATTGGTTTAATTTTTGTAAAACAAATAATAGCATCAATCATGTAATGTAGAATAGGATGTATAAACTTGCTAAGAAGAACAAGTACAACAAGAAGTCCTATTATAATGTCAGAACATGTTGTGTTGAACTTTTTCAACAACTGGAATAACATGTCGTAGAAGATGTCTTTGACATCGCGCCTGCTGTGTTGGATTAATGAGATTCAGTTTATTCTTAACAGATGTAGAATATTCAAGAGAATATTATGCATCCTATGTGGCGCATATTTAAAGGTCTAGAAAATTCGATCAGAAATCAAGGAGAATGAAGACTTTCTAAATAAGGAGATTATTTAGGAAACTAAAGATTGAAGACCTTTCTTGGGGCAAAAGTTTCTGCAGTTTGTTACAACTGACTTGCTGTGATTGAAGGCCCAAAACCAATTGGGTAACATGTTATAAATAGAAGGTTTTTTAACCTAGAAAAGACATGACTCAAGATGTAGAAGTCTAGGGTTTTGTCAAGGTAAACCTCCCGGGTTGTAGGAAGGTTACCATGTTGACCTCGAAGCTTGTAGGTAAGAGGTGTATTTTTCTTGGAGGAAGATTTGAAGCAACTCCAAGATGTGTTAGGAGCAAAGCTAACAAACAGTGGAGTTTGGCTTGGAGACTTATCTAGATTTTCCTGGAAGTGTGTCTTCTAAACTGTCTATCTGTGTGATCAGAATCTTGGTGAAGGACCGTCGATGCAGTGATTTAGGTGTTGACTGCTAGACATCATTGTGATGATTGGAAGTGGGATAGAGATATTCTATATCTAGGGAGAACCTAGGTGGAAGGGTCATTGGGTAGTGATTAAGTGCGTAGATCGTCAACAGGTGTGTTGGCAGTAGGGTCTGCAAATTGATACTGCTGATATTGGACTTCATTCCTGGCTTGGTAGCCCCCAAATTAGGTGTTGTTGTTCACTGAACTAGGTAAACAATTCTGGTGTGTTCTTTATCTTTTCAATACTGTTTTATCTTGCCTGCATGTTTGTGTCAGATCAAATGTCTCGATATCTTTATAGGACACCTGAGTCTGTTGTACCAGAATTTCAAATTGTGTATGAAGGAGGTTATGAAAGCAATGTATTTTGGTTCTAAAAGCTAGTTTTGCTTCTGCAGGCTCTGGTTATGATCATCTTACACTGTATATCTCTAGTGACTTCAATATCAAAACAATTGGAATTTACAAGAGAGTGTGAAAAGAAAATTGAAATTGTGATTTGCAAGTCTCATTGTGCAACAAGGAATAGCTCTGGCGCTGTTAGTAAATTATTTTATCGATATGATATGACAATGTTGCCTTGAGAATGTTCTAAGCAAGCATAGCTTGATATTTGGTTGGTGGTATTTTATTGTGGACCTAGATTCTCTACAGTCACTATGACTGCAGGATCCTGTATTTGGTTCAAATATGTGGATGTGATTTGGAAAGAGATAATATTGGGGGAATGTAATCACAATATTGACCTTCAAAATACACTAATTAGACACTAATTGCATGTGACTGCATGATATTTAAATGCAGGTGATTAAATTCCATATTATTGTAGTAAGCTATTGTGGGTTTAAGTAGGAGTGTAAAGTCGTGCATGAGACAGTGGATGAATTATGATATTTAAGAGAAAAGTGGGACCAAACTTCTGCGTGAGACCCTTTAATGAGAATATGCGTGTTCATTACTCTGAGTTGACAGAGCTTTGAATCAAACCTTTGTAATGGATTGATCTTATTGGATCATTTATTCGGTCTAAAACAACTTCCATTAATATATCACTTTTTACACCCCATTCTTATAAAATCGACTAAGAAAATGTGAAGTGTAGTCTTTATAAAAAAATTTATAAATTCTTATTTCTTTTTTCCAATTGAGTTTTTTTAATAGAATCAATTGAAATTAAGTTTTTGATATGTTTGAATTTTTTTATTAGAATTGATTTTATTTATAAAATATATTTTAATTTTATTTATTACAACTAATCTTATCTCTATAATATATTTTAATTTGAACCAAAAATAGATTAAAAAATTATATATAATATATATTCAAATTCATCATATTATTTATTTTGGAAAATTAAATTTAACTATAAATAATTAATTTTATAAAATCAATTCAATAAAAAATAAAATCAAACACACACTAGTATTACAAAAACACACAATAAATCAAACTTACATTAATAATAGTTGTGTAGATAGCAATAGCAATGCACAAACCTATATTGCTAGGTTATGGGCCTAGAGTCTCTAAGCCTGAAAAATGAAAGAATGAAAAAAAGAAAATAAAATAAAAGTAAAGATAATTCTAATTCGCAACACAATCTTTCAGAGAATCAGTGAAGAGGTTTCAATTTCAATGGCGGTTTCTTCTCTCTCTACAACCTTTGTTCCTTCTCTTTCTCTCTCCTCCAAACCAAACGTCCAATCTCCATGCTTTCTCTCCGGTAACACTTTCAGGCTTCCGAACCCCAAACCTCTTCATTCATCAACCGTGGTTTATGCTGCTCCGGAAGTGTTGAATTCCGCTGAAACCAAAGATGTTGAGTCTGGCTCTCAGGTTTGTGAATTTTTGTTTGTTTTGTATTTCAGTTCGTATTCATTTATCACGCATAGGCATTGATATGATTTAAGTGTATTTGGTTTTGTTGTGATAAATTTTGATTTTGAATGAATTGAATTTGGGAAATTGATTAGGACTAGTGTTTGTTTGGTTTAGCTTATGGAAGAGGCAAAAGCAATTCTAAAGGTGTGTAGAATTGATTTTGGAATGAAATTGAGGTGTTTGGTTCTTTTAAGTAGAATTTGCTATCAGAATTGATTCTATTTGAAGTTAGAATACGTAACTTTTGAGTTTAAATAAGATTTTTACTGTTCAGCTCAATTTTGTATGAAGTTATCCAAATATAAATCACTTTAAATTTAACTCACTTTTAATTGGAATTGATCAATTTTTATCAAACATAAACATACGCCAAGTGTATGTTTGGTTTAGTATTTAGAAGACGCAAAAGTAATTTTGGAGGTGTAGAATTGATTTTAGAATGATTTCGAGGTGTTTGGTTCTTTTAAAGTAGAGTTTATTCTAGTTGAAGATGAAATTTCTAGCTTTTGAGTTTAAACCTGATTATACATTGAAATTTACTGTTTAATTCAATTTTGCATAAAGTTATCCAAACATAAATTACTTTACATTCAACTCAATTTGGCGGCGATTATATGTAACCAAGTGAGTTAGTGTCATGACATGATGTGACATCGACATGTGTTAGACACTTCAATTTGTTGTTACATATGTAATGAGTACTTAGGAGTTTTCACTTTGCTCGGTTAATTATGTCTATAGTGTATGGACTGAACATATGAAAAGCTATGTGGTTTGAATCTTCATAATATAAGCTTGATGGAGACACAGAAGAGGATAATGAAAGTTGTCTATGGCAGTGTCTTGTCAATTTTTTGGAGTTTGATATGTTGGTTATTAAGGAGGCTTAGTGAATACGATTATGACTTGCTCTAGCTTTAACAATATTATGGTTTAGATTGGCCTGCTTCGTCTTTTTTTCTCAAATGTTTTGAACTTAGATCGAATAGTATGGTTGGTGATGAAATGTTTTGGTGTTTTAGGTTGATGACTTGGAAACTCCAAGCACTTCGAAAATTAGCATTGGAGCTGATGCAGACATGGTATGTTGATGGATCAGTTTACTATTTTCGATTGCTGGTTAATGTTTGCTTGCTTTTGGGGTCTTGTTATGCGTGATTCTCATATTCCAAATGTGTATTTTTCAGTCATTCAATATAAATTAGAAAATGGAACATCCGCCGTCGTGTAAATTAATATTATGCTGACGTCTAATAAAAATCGAGTAATTTATTATTTTTAAAATACGGTTACAACATAGGCTTACGGGGAAATATAGTTATATCATGCAATTTCGGTTAGAAAATGTCCAGTAATAGACTTATGATGGGACTTATGAGTTAACCGATGATTTTTAGAGTAGAATTTACTGATCTGGTCCATGACTTATCTACTTTGTACAATTTCTCTTAACTATTGGATTGTTGTATTTCCATACATAGTTCTTCGAAGATGAACCGGCGTTCTAATATGGCAATTCTAATACTTTGTACATTTATTTGACATGGAATCATTGTCACATGTTAGATTACATTTCGTAGTTTGTCTGTTTATCTATTTGTACAGGGGAAAAATCAATAGCAACCTAATGATTTGCGACAATTTGCGACTTACATTATTAATTTTAAGCACTGGTTTGATTTTTTTTATCAGAACAACAATACGTGTAATGCCAATCATATTCTGTAGTTTCTTAGAAAATCCTGTCATCTGATAATATTTCTTCACTTTTGTAGATGGCACCAAAGCTAAGAATCAGAATCAAGCTTAGATCTTACTTTGTGCCCTTGATAGAGGATTCTTGCAAGCAGATATTGGATGCAGCAAGAACTACCAATGCAAAAACAATGGGTCCTGTTCCTTTACCAACCAAGAAGCTAGTTTTTTGTACTCTTAGGTCTCCACACGTACACAAAGATGCTCGGTTCCATTTCGAGATCAGAACTCATCAGCGTCTCATTGATATTCTCTTTCCTACTGCTCAGACAATAGATTCTCTTATGCAACTGGATCTTCCTGCTGGTGTTGATGTCGAGGTCAAGCTTTAGAGATATTTGCTTCGGGTTGATAAGCATCTTGATTATGAGTGAACTTCAACTTGCTAGTAATAGCAAAAGAGGGGGGATAATTGGCAGATATCATGTATTTCAGTCTCTGAACTTATTTCTTTGAACAATGCAAATGATCCTTTTGGTTGCTTTAGATTTTTAGAAAGTTCACTCCTTTTGTTGCATAGATATTTGCATATTCTATTCAACAATGTAATGTAAGTTTTGTATTACGATGTGTTATTCTTCTAAATTATGCACATGAATTTATATTTACTGATTTAAAAAGTTTTTTCTCTATGGCTTACATTAATGTTTTAGTTCTAATAGTTATTTATTTTTACTGATTTAAAAAGTTATTCCTCAATCGATTGATTTTTTATGTTTTTTTTTACATTTCTTTGCCTCATTCTATTTCTATTATTGTAATCATAATATGTTAGAAGGTTGAAGAGTGTTTTGATAAAAGTTTACAAAAATAAAAAGTGTAAGTGTATTAATATAACTAGGGTTAAATATAAAAACATCCTCTGTAATATTAGTGAATTCATGTTTTAGTCCCTCGTAAAGTTTTTTTTTAATTCTCTCCTTGTATTTTGTAGATTCCCTCAGACCCCCCCATTGGCCAGATGTCATAGAATCTTGAGTGACTTGTTTCCAATTTAGCCACGTCCTGTTTCTAATTTAGCCACATGGCATTTTCATTCAAGCATCAGGGTTTGTAATTTTTTTCCTATTCGTTATACTCCCTTGCGAAATTAGGGTTTATGTGAAGACTGAGCTGTGAAGACGACGATTTCGTAGGCGACAAAGCAAGACTTAGCGATACGAAGCAAGATGACGATTCAGTAGGCGACGTAGGTTGACGGCGGAGACGAAGCTTGCAATGTCTAAGGTATGTTGATTTTGAAACTTCAATACACTTAAAGTGTAGTGTAATACAGTGGGAATTTTATGTTAACTGAGTTTGATGCATTCACAGGATTTCCAACCTTTTACTGTTACGTTTCACCATGGGGGTGAATTTATTAGGGTTAATACGATTGAAATTATTTACAGAGGGGGGGGGGGGTGATTCTACTGTAAATGGGCTTGAAGTTACTAAGTGGACAATGGATCGTATTATGAAGTTGGTATGTGGGTGAGGGTATAAGAAGGGGACTTTTCGTTTATGGACGAAAGTTTTAGAGATTCAAGAAGGATATATTTTGATAAAAAAGGATGATGATGCATACGATTTTGCATCATTCTTTAGTGCAATGAATATCGTTGGACATTTATTTGTGGAACATTCTCAGGGAGGATTGGATGTTGATGATACATAACCTAATTGTGTCAATGAGGTGAATGAAATGGATGGGTTGGAAGAGGGGATGGTTGAAGGTTTAGATGACAGTGAAGATGAGAGAGCTACTGCTCTGCTTGATGGATTTGAAGGAATCGATGTTACATTGCCATTGAATGAAGATGTAAGTCTTAGTGGACTTTTTGGTAGGCCCAAGAAGACCACAAATGAGGATGAATACCTTAGTGATGAGTTGAATAGTGATGACCCAGATGATTCTTGTGATGATGAAAGGTCCAAGTATGAAAGGTTTAGAAAAGATCACCTCAACAAGGACTACAAGTTTAAGATGGGTATGGAATTTAATTCACTTGTGGAATTTAGGGAGGCTATTCGTGAGTGGTCAGTCCTCAATGGGAGGGAAATTACCTTTGTTAAAAATGAAAGATATAGGGTTAGAGTACAATGTAAGGTTAAATGTGGCTTTTTGTTCTTATGCTCCAAAGTGGTCCACAAACACACTTTTGTAGTAAAAACACTTGTGGATACCCACACATGTGCTAGGTTTTTGGAAAACAACATGTGTGGAATAAGAGGCTAAGCACGTGGAAAAGAGGCTAAAAAGTTATGATAATGTTAGAATAAGAGACATAATGTAAGAGATAAGGAAAAAAAACTGTAGGAATTACTATTGCAAAATCATGGAAGGCCAAGTTAATTGCTAAGAAGATAATTGAAGGTGATACAGATAATTAATATGCATCCATATGGAGGTATGCTACTGAATTAACAAGAGTGAATCCTGTTGAATTCACAGACTGTATCTGTTGTGGTTAACTCAAAGAAACATAAATGAAAGAAGCCAGTTACCAAAAGAAGGCAAAGTGAAAGGATCAAGTTGAGTTAGTTTAAGAAATCAATTACAGGCCCAAGATCTAGTGAGCATCCACCATAATAGAAGTTGGAGAGAAGTCAGGTTCAAAAGACTCCAAATTAGGAGTGAAAACAAGGTTTATGAAGACACAGGGGACCGAAAAAATTAAAGACTAAGTTTTATGTTATCTTTAATAGACTTAAGAGTTTGACATATGCACCAAGTGTGACTTTTATTTGGTTGTATTATTACTGTGTTTGACATATGCACCAAGTGTGCCTTTTATTTGCTTGTATTATTATTGTGTTTGACATATACACCAAGTGTGCCTTTTGGTAAAGCTGTAATAGACATTGTTAGACGGCTATGGTTGAATCTGACTTGTGGGACCGTGACTAATGTGTCACACCTGATTTGCTGTTGAAAACTTACTTATATATGTAACAGAAAACAGTTAGAGACAGGAATTCACATTATGAGTCGATATATGTTAGCATGAGTCGACTCATGTTAGTTATACAACACAAAATGAGTCGATGCGAGTTGTTATGAGCCGATTTAAACTGATACTACAACATATTACAGAGCCAACCATTTTACATGAGTCGATACATAACATGTATGTGTCGACACATACTGAATTGAATTTTAATTTTTGAAGATAAAACGTGTTATGTGTCGATGCATGGAGTTATGTATCGATGCATAAAAGTTGAAACTTGTTTTCCAAGGACATCAACATATCATGTGTCGATGCATGAAGTTATGTATCGATGCATAAAGGTTGAAAATTGTATTTCAGGAACATCAACATGTTATGAGTCGATGCATGGCATGGATGTGTCGACTCATACTGAAGCATAATCGTTTTTATGATTCTTTGCTTAAGTATGTGTCGATGCAAGGCTCTTTGTGTCGACTCATAACATTGTTTTATGTGTAAAATACATTCTTAACTCTTTTTAAACATGTTATACTGTATTTTTACAATGCACACATATAGGTAAAGCATTTTCAACATTCATTGATTATTTCACACATATTTGTTATCATTCAAAATTAATTATATGAAGGGATTGCTCACAGACATATGCACCAAGTGTGCCTTTGGTAATGATGTAATAGACATATGCACCAAGTGTGCCTTTTGTAACTTTGCTGTCAAAATTTTATTCAACTATGCTATCAAAATTTTATTCAACTGTCATAGACATCTTTTGCTGTTAAAATTTTGCTTTCAATGAATGTAACATTGGTGCCATAGACATATTCACTGTCAACGAATGTAATTTTAACTAAATTACACAAAACTTAAAATTCCATTCAACAAAACATAATTTGTCTTACATTGGGCACCAAAAATTAGAGTTTAATTCAACACAAACTTGTCTATCTTACAAACCATGACAGATCAAGATTCAATTACAAACCATACCAACTATCTTACAAACCATTTTATTTTTTGAAAACGAGCTACCGGATTTTTTGAAAAATTCGATAATTTTTTCAAAATTTTTGGTATATTTTTTAATTTTTTATAAGAACTCGTGAAAATTTCAGTAACTTTTCAAAAATTTTGGTAAACCTCATTTTTTTTTAAATTTAGTAACTTTAAACAAAGGTATAATGGTAAAAACATGCAAAATGGGAGGGGGGAGGGGGGGGGGGTGCTAGGTATAAGTGTGAGAGTGTCAAGTTAAATCCTCGGATTTTAGAGACCACCAAATCATAGTTTTAGGATCTTCTGAAATATATCCTCCAAGACGACTATAGCAGACACGTGTTTTTATTTCTTTGTAAATTCGAGGACATTACTATAAAAGGGAGAAGATGAATCAGTCTCAAGTACATACTATTCTAACAAAAAAACTTCACATTTGCGTCAGATTATTTGCATATACGCCAATCGTAGTCTAACATAAGCATAAGATTTTTCTCAAATATCGTCATTAGTTCCTCATTCACTAACAACACGTGAATCAAAAAGATCATTTCTGAATCATTTGGCGTCACCTATAAGAATCGCCTTCTAGCATTTTCACAATTTAATCCAACATAAATCTTATGGTGAATAATAGTAAGCAAGCAACAACCACCACCTCGTCTTAAGGATGCTCTCATGTTATCAGTGTAGTCATCACAGTGAATCAAGAGCCTCTAAATGGATTGTGTATCATCATCATCATCACTCATGGGATACTGGAATCTTCACGCCCGTATATCTTCCACATTGCGAAAATGCACCACCTCCACCTGAAAGTCCTACCTGAGACAAGGGGATCCCAATAACTCTGACGATAAATCATAAAATGAATAATTTGATGATAGGCTTGTTGGTCCCTGCTCAAAGGCAATACCTAGCCTTCGAGCAATAAAATGATTGGTTGAGGGAGATGGGGAGGCCGAATTCAATCCTCGGGTACCACCGTCTAATGCCAAAGGGCATATCAAAGCATAATCTTCTTGGACGAGGGGAACATTTTCTACACCGATGAAGATCGATTGATGTGATGTTGCTTTGGCATCCTAGATCCAGGAGCCAAAGATACACCCTAAACGAACCTAGATCCACGATACCACAAAGGAAGTTGTCTTCTTAACCCACCATCATCATCATGAACACGTCATAGAGGCTCGACACAATCACCCTCTTTTGAGAGATCATGGGGTGAGGATGATACGTCGAGAAGGAACATATTGACACAAACGATCAACAAATATTCGGTCTGTAGGGACCTATATAAACCAATAAGGTTGGGAACATATGACATAATTATATATTTTGACAACCTCATCATAATTGTGTATGTTCGCCTTAACTTTTAGGACACCAAAGGGAGG